GTGCGTGCGTGCGTGCGTTTGAGAGTGATAAATAGATAATGTACAACTGCGATTGAAGGACAAAACAGCAGAGGTAGCAAAAGTGTAAAACAGACGTGATACTGAAAAAAATAACATTTTAAAAGAATTACTGAAGCATGGAGGTGAAATAGTGAAATTGTATAGGTTTGACGCCCCTATCAACACTAAAGCATGAAGGTGAAACGAAGGTGACATTAAGATGACATTAAAAATGAGAAAGAAACGTGAGACAGTGTTGAGACAGGGGTAAGACAGGTGAAAGACAAAAAGATCTAACAAACGGCGGGACAAGTAAGAAATAAGACAAAGAGGGTTGACATGGTGTGGCAAAAATATGTGCAAAAAGGTGTGACAGTGGTACGTTTTAGTTTTACTAAACATGTTACGGCACTTGCAACCCAATAAAGTCATATAAGTGCCGATTAGGAGTGTTACAAGAGAGTAACAAACGCAAAAAGGACGAAAAGAGATAAGAACGATAAATGAAATGTTAGCCAGGAAAGAAGAAGCAAACCACACCAGAGCACCTGCCAACCACCAACAGACAACAGTAAAGCAGAAATGAAATACACGCGAGACAAATGTGAAATATTTACCAGGTATTCTAGAGATGACGAGGGGAGACAAAAAAGGGTGACATACAAGCGAGACGTGGTGAGACTGGAGTTTAGTTTATGTTTTAGTAAGAGTTTTAAAGCACTTGCAACACAATAAGGTCATATAAATGCCGAAGAATAGATTACGTGTTACAAGAGAGTAGCATACACAAAAAAGGAGCAGCAGAAATTAGGACGATAGATATTTGATAGCAAAGAAGGAGCAAACCACACCAGAGCACCCACCAACCAACCACTGAGACAGAAGTGACATACGCGTGAGACGTGGTGAGACAGAAGTGAGACATACTCGTGGGACACAAGGGAGACGTGGTGAAACAGATGTGACATACACGTGAGACGTGGTGAGACAGAAGTGAGACATACTCGTGGGACACAAGGGAGACGTGGTGAAACAGATGTGACATACACGTGAGACGTGGTGAGACAGAAGTGAGACATACTCGTGGGACACAAGGGAGACGTGGTGAAACAGATGTGACATACACGTGAGACGTGATGAGACAGAAGTGAGACATACTCGTGGGACACAAGGGAGACGTGGTGAAACAGATGTGACATACACGTGAGACGTGGTGAGACAGATGTGACATACACGTGAGACGTGGTGAGACAGATGTGACATACACGTGAGACGTGGTGAGACAGATGTGACATACACGTGAGACGTGGTGAGACAGAAGTGACATACACGTGAGACGTGGTGACACATGAGGAGACAAAAGTGACAAACACGCGAGACGTTGTGAGGCAGAAGGGAGACATCCACACGGGACACAGGTGAGACATTACCTGGGATTCTAGAAGGTACTCTCTGGCCGCTGGAACCGCTGCTGTTACTACCGCCGGTGATGGTACTCGTGCCCGTGTCCGCGCTGCTGGCTATGGAGGCGGTGCTGGCGGCTGCACCCACGGGGAGTTTCGAACCCGCACCCTTGGAACCGGCGCTAGAGTCCTTACCCGGACTCTTGTTAGCCGACCCGGAGCTGGGCGTGGTTTGGTGGGTGGTGGGCGTGGTTTGGGTGGCGGTGGGCGTGGCTGACGGGGGCGTGCCCACCCCTTTCTTGCCTTTCTGGGCCGGGGTGGGCAACTTGGTGCATTGTTTCTTCTTCCCGCTGACGATTGCCTGCATGCGCTTCATTTCTGCGGGTCACAGTGCAGCACCGTCAGGCTCACAACATTTGGCTATCCGACAAGAGGTCAAGTCAAGCATGTGAGGTCAGCTGCCACAATTTTCGTCCAGAACAACACTTCATAAAGATCTCCACGAACGGAATAGAATCGCAGCACAAAGAACTGGAACAATTATCACAGTACACGGTTGTTGCTTTTATATGCCGGAGTTTCACTGTTGCGTGACCAAAAACACCAAATCCCCAAGAATCAGTCCACAGGAAAGTCAAGGTTACTATCGTATACTCCTTGCACTCATACTGTCAGATACTATCAAGGAAACAACGTAAACAAATCTGTTCACTCACACTGTGAAATCAATAATAAATAGTACTCGTGGTTGCGATTCTCTGCCGAAGAGAAAAAGCACAACTCCAAATAACAACAGTAGAATACACACACAAGAGAACAACGGAGAAAAAATATAACGGCGAAAGACGACACCTGTCTCGCCGCGGCGTAAAAACAACACGATACACCGCGTGCGTATGTGTGTGTGTTTGTGTGGGGCCCGAGGTTAACACCATCGATATAAGGAGCACTTGGGTGAAATTACATCTTCTGTGCCTGCCTTCTGTCGCGTTGGTCGAAGCAGCGTAAGGACAGGGCAGGGAGAGGAGAGGAGAGGCTGGGGTCATCGCTTACACACACACACACACACACACACACACACACACACACACACACACACACACACACTCACACACACACTCACACACACACTCACACAGTACCACACCTGATCCATACTATCAGAGCGGCAAGCAGAGCTTGACATCAAATTTCACGTACGGCCCCTTACGCCTTCTGTTCACAGAGGACAAAATAAAGATAAACCATAGAGAAACAGCTGAGGAAAGGCTCTCAATGCTAGGAGACAAAAACACAAAAAGTAGGTCGATCGATTTCTACTCGATACTATGAGAGAGGGAGAGGGCATGGGAGAGGGCAGGGGAGAGGGCAGGGGAGTGAGAGGTGAAAGAGTGGAAGATGAAGGATAAGGGAAGATGGGAGGGAGTCAGAGAGAAGAGAGGGGCGAAGGGGAGGGAAAGAGAAAGGAAGAGAGAAGGTGGGGATGTGACGGTTGGACGAGTGCGACATACGACAGCGCGTGCGTGAAAATCGAATCAACAGAAGAGAGGTTTGATGTGGACTTTTGTTCCTTCCTGAGATGCGTCCATCGATCTCCAATTTGGTTTTCATCAGAGAGAGGAAAAGCGAGAAATATGTCACATTATGCTAAATGCGACCTGGCGAAGGTCGACAGGGGAAGAGCCATAACAGGTGCGTCACGCTTGACTGAACCCCAGTTTTGTTCCACGTGCCCCCTTGTTTTATTTTAGTAAGTATTTTACGGCACTAGCAACACAATAAGGTCATATAAGTGCCGAAGATTAGAGATGTTACAAGAGAGGGGTTTTTTTCTCCTTTTTTCAGTAGAGGTTTTACGGCGCTCGGAACTGCATAAGGTCATGAGCGCCAGAAGATTAGAGGTGTTACAAGAGAGTACCAGACACAAAAAAGAAGGAGAGGAGATAAAGACGAGTAGACGACAGCTGATGTTGGATGGGAAAGAAAAAGTAAAGCACACCAGAGTACCTGCCAACCACCCACCCATGTGCCCCTACCGGGCCGAGAAAAGGGGGGGGGGAGTGGGGGGGGGATGTCAGCATGAGTGAGGGAAAACCCACAAGTAGAGAGAGCTTGGCACTGTTACAAGTAAGTTTATACAATATATCGCATCGCGTGAAAACAAACTACAGTTTGTTTTGGGTTTTGTTGTTGTTGTTTTTGTTCTTTGTTGTTTTTTACTGGGGGCGGTTTGTATTAAGCCCCTCATGGTTTCAGGTTAGCTTTTAGTTTTAGTAAGAGTTTTACGTTACTTGCAACACAATGAGGTCATAATAATATAAGTGCCGAAGATTAGAGACGTTACACGAGAGTAACAAACACAGAAAAAGAAGGAGGGGAGTTAAGGAAGATAAATGTTTGATATAGGAAAGAAGAAACAAACCACACCAGAGCACCCACCATCCGCCCACTCTCATGATTTCCATTTCACTAGTCATACAATGTAATACGTGTAATTCATACTTCCTATTTCCTTTAAAAATCGTACTGCATGTATCTGGGTTTTTTTCCACCGTGAGTCGCATAAAGCATTTCAAGCTTTTTCGAATACAATTCTTTGAACATCTTGATAACGCACGACTCTGAATAATCTTACGATTTTGATAGAGAAGACAGAACATTAATTGGTTTCTGACCTCATGGTCTAAGTAACTGAAAACGACAAAAATTTTAGATAAAACTTTGTAATTTTGAGGCAGCCTATTGTTTAATCCTTCCCCTCCCCCCCCCCCCCCCCTCCCCCTCCAATGAGACCCGAAGGAAGCGACCTAATACCAAGCGTTTATGAACTGGCTAGCAAGTCGTTGTGCTCACTAAAATCGATATTTTCTATCATGTTAACATGAAGGTGACTTTTGGGCGCCCTTGTGTGGTCAACACCTTTTGATTCTGTTCGTAGTTACAATTTATTATGATTACAGGGGCATTTATTCCTGGAATAACGTGACTTCAAAATAGCAAACTCAAAATGCCTTCCTGGAAAGTTTAGTTTAGTTTTAGTAGAGGTTTTACTGCGCTCACAACTGCATACGGTCATATGAGAGCCAGAAGATTAGAGGTGTTATAAGTGAGTAACAAACATATAAAAGAAGAAGGGGAGCTAAGGACGATATACAGTGTATGTTTGACAGGAAACAAGGAGCAAACCACACCTGAGCACCCGTCACCCACCCACTTCCTGGAGAGTAACGCGCTGTCTTGTTTGGATATTTAGCTCAACTCGCGCATTAATACACCGCCGATCATATGGTGTGCAGTAAACTTATAACTTCTTTTTTTTTTTTTTGCATGGAGTTGAATCTGTATTTAGTGCACATAGGCAAGTAACATACATATTATTATACTATAGTTCGAGTATGAGAGAAGCACAACTATACAATAACGGTCATTCAGTGCTAGGGGGAAAGTAAAAACAAACAGCGGGGTCACGAAGAAAAAGTACGACCTACCACCAGTATGTTGCAACTACCTGCATTCCAAAATTCTTCTTTTTCGGCCAGATCGACATAATTATAATCATTCAGGAGGCGGGCTTCGACCCTGCCTGCCATGGTCAGCCTGGGATGAGAAGGATACAGCATCCCAGTACGTAGATACACTGAGATACTCTATAAAAATGTTCTCCCCACTCGGGAGTCGAACTCGGATCTCCTGCGAGCGACAGCGAAGCGCCTAACAGCTACACATCAAACGCTAGTCCTCCCAATCTCCTGCTTTGCGAGCAAGATTCGACTTTTCAAATAACCTAGTATGTATGTGTAGTTTTCAGCAATAAAACTTAACACAGCAATACATTATCAAGCTGTGGGCTCGGATAATGACGCACCACAAGTTAAGGGTTATCTGAAATTCCAATAAACCAATAGAGGGAGATCTCGTGGTCTACAGGTACGGTGTTCGCCTCTCATTCAGTTTCAAAACCGGACAGCGACAAAAATGTTCCTCTCTTAAATTTCCTCCTATCACCTCCTTTCCTGCTCTCTTCACATGTTCTGTCGTCTGCTTTCGTATTCTTGTTCTGCCCCACCCACTCTTTGCCCCCTCCTCTATGCTACTGGCTCTTTGTGCAGCCTTTCTACTGCTATTCACTGGGTCCTTACTGTTGTCTTTCGGCCACAGCCCTGATCTTGGGGTAACCTTCTCGGTAAGGGGCGAAAAATACTCGGTGGTCCAGTATGGAGGTTGCGCATGTTAAAGATCCCTTGGTGGTCCTAAAATTGATCGTCACCCGGGCAAAATTCAAAGTTAATTCTTACCAAACTGAAAATGCTTTATGTGTCCGCACGAACGCCATAAAACACTTACCAAAATTTTTAAAAAGGAAAGTACAAAACAGAATTGGTCGCTTTTAAGGGCAAGCGGGCTAACCTAGATTTCGGAGGTTTCCAGAAACCTTGACGTACACCAAAAGTGGGCATTCCCCTACCTATAGGGGAAGTTTGGTCTCATTGGTATGTATATCTGTTTGGTTATAGAGAAAAGTCTCCTTGTTTTTTAAAGAAACTGAACAAGGGGCAAAAAACTTTACCTTCGATTTTCTCAAAACAGCATTTTCGGGATAGCCCCCTTGCGCTTAAAAGCGACCAATTGACAAAGAGGGCGAGGGCTGTCGGACAAGCCCTCATACCTAACAAACCGGTTCAACAGACTAGCCATTAGTTAGTAGTCAAAGGAAGGCAAGCCTGTAGTTGTGGTCAATAGAACAGCCTAGTACCTCCAAGTCTTAGTTTTAGTAAGTGTTATACGGCACTTGCAACACAATAAGGTCATACAAGTGCCGAAAATCAGAGATGTTACAAGAGAGTAACAAACACAAAAAAGGAGGGGAGATAAGGAAAAAGATGTTTGAAAGGAAAGAAGAAGCAAACCCCACAAGAGCACTCGCCAACTGCCCACTCCCCCAAGTCTCCACATTCGTTTCATGCAAATAATCGCCACAGAATTATTTTGTTCTAGGGAAAATGTATGGCTCTTTAATAACTGTTTTCTTGTGCTTTGCTTTGGTAAGGAGAAGCGCGTCAGCACAAAGAACTATCGTTTTGAAATGGGAACTGGAAAAAGAAAGAAAGAAAGAAAGAAAGAAATTAAAGACAGAAAGAAAAGAAATAAAACGAATTAGTGACGCCCTAAACGCATCAATTTTCTAAATAATATGCATATGTCGTAAAACAGAATGAGAATGTCTTCTATAATACAACAAAATCACTGAGGTTTTTAAAAAAATAAAAATTACTTAACGCAAGCCCAAATGGAAACTATCAGGCAATGGAATCGACCGCACACGATGCCAACTCATTTCACAAAAATACAAACTAATAAGCTGCGTATATTTCAGCGAGGAAATAACATGGCTCAAATTTATGTTAGAAATGTTAATAACGGAAATTACCGAGACTCTAATATACATTATCATAACTGGGACAGGTGATGAATCACTCAAAGAAAGTCATGTTGCCGAGTTGACGCACAGAGCGATGGGCTGGGGTTAATGGCTTTTACAGTGACGGGGCCATGCTGAAACAGAGGCCAAAATGTCGATATTAATGAGATATTATATTGGATCTGATAACGGCTGTTCCCCCGCTGTATATGCACCCCGTGGTGCCTACATCTCTATAAATAACTCACTTGCAATTGGTCCGAAAAGAGTTTGCGGCGGCAGTATTTGTCGTTTTTGGATGGGTTTGGTTTTTTTATTCTGTTTTTGCTCCGGGGTTTTTTTTCTGCTAACACGATTGAATGAATAAAAAAAATTATCGGTAATGAATCAGTGACCAACTGGTGTTTTCAACATGAAGCAGAAAAAAAGAAAGAACAAAAACCACAGACAC